GATTTAAGCCGCCCAGTCTGTGGCACTTTGCTGTAGCAGCCCTGGCAATCTAACTTACTTCCCAGCTCCTCCCAGATGCAGAGCCAAGATCATTCCCAGCCACAGCCCGGCTCCACGCACAGTGGTCTCCTCATCACCACCCCCCCCCCCCCCACCCCCACACCTTGTCTCCCAGGCAACCCCTCCCTGCCTCTCCCTGCCCCAGGGCATTTTCCCAGCTTCCTCTCTGGCTGTCTCTCCACTGTCTCTTTAACCAGCTCAGCACAGAGCACTTTGAGTGGTTATTTGCCCCGTAACAATAAGCCCCCATGGCAAGCCCCCAGGGTTCTCCCACATCTGCCCTCGCCACACTGGCCTCAAGGGGTCTCTGATGACCCAGAGCAGCCCCTTTCCCAGCCCGGGCGGCAGCCACCACATCTGCTTTGGAAGATGATGCCTGTCGACCGCTCCTTTCCGTGAACCACCCCCACCTCGAGCTGGGTGCACAGAAGCCGCCTCGGCCACAGCAGCTTGGGTGCCCTGGACCTTCTTGGCCCCCCGGGGCGCCCTGTTCCGGCGACCTCAGCAGCAGCTGCTTCCCAACCAGGGTCCTGGAGCAGCGCTGTCCTCAAGGACTTTCTGCAGCCACGGGGATACCTGTGCCATCCTGGAGTGTGGCTGGCGGCTCCTGCGTGGGACAAGGCAGCCGGAGACCACAGTTCTCAACCAAGAGCCCATGGCCCAACACAGGGAGTGCCGGGGGCGGGCTGGGAGGGTGCCCAGCACTGCCGGGTGTCTAGCAGCCCAGGGCTGCGCCACCGCCCCCGCCCCCATAGCCAGTGTGCTGGGGTGTGTTGGGGGAGCAGCGACGGGCTCGCGGGGGTGTTTCCAGCCCAGACACCCCGAGGAGCCCCTCGACACCAATGTAGGTAGCCCGCGGTGCCAGTCAGCTGCCAACGCTTTGCTTCCTAATGTTATCATTGGTCACTGCCGTCCAGAGGTGAGAGCTGGACCAATATATAAATCAGGCCTTGTGATGACAGCCGGAACTTCTCCGCTCGAGACATCACAGAGGAGAATTGATGAGCACTTTATCCAGACTATAAAACGGGAAATCTCTAATTTTTCTCAACTGAGGGCTTTTGAAGTCCCCAAAAGTAAATCTCTCTGCAGGTAAAGTAAATTGATGGTTTTTCCAAGGGGCCTCCCCTAAGCCTCCCAGCAAAGCATGGATGGCCCCAGTGCCAAGGCATCTCTGGGGTGGCAACCAGAGCTTAGCAGGCTGCAGGGGTCTCACCTGGGTGGGGGGCTCACATCAGGTTTGGGGGCTCACACGGCAGGGCCCTGGGCCAAGCCTGCAGGTCTCAGACAGGCTGCCTCTCGAGTGAGGCCAGCCCTTGCATCCACCCTCCACCTCACGGGCATCAGAATTGTTACCCTGCAGCGGGATGGGTGACCTCCAGGAGGCCTGGCCTGGTGCTCCGTGTCTTTTGCTTCCCCTTCCTGCAGGGCGCCATGTCTCCTGCGTCCGAGCACCTGCCACAGCCTGTGCCTCCACCTGGGTGCAGGTAGGTGCTCTGGCCTGAAGCCCACCAGCCAGCCGTTCTCAAGTGCTCAGCCCTCACACGTGTTCTCACAGCATCTCTATCTTGCGGGTGAGTACACTGTACCCAGTTCTACAGCGCTGGGCTGGCACCTTCTGAGGGCCCACGTAGGCTCCTGCAGGGCCCAGGCACCTGGCTCCCAGGAAAGGTCCCGGGAAGAGAGAGGTGCCTGGCAATGGGCCAGGGTCTGACTCCCCGGCCCGGGTACCTTCAACCCCACTCTGCTTGGTGGCCCGGCATCGAGTGCCCTGAGCCCCAGGCTGTGTTGGCCCATGGCCAAGGGGAAAGGCAGCGTCCTCGTCCGCTCGGCCCTGCTCTCCCCGCTCTCGTTAACACGTCAGCAGGCAGGTTCCCACGGGCTGCGCTGGAAGCCAAGGCCCAGGATGCCCCCTGCACAGGGCCCGGGGCCTGTGCTCTCCTGGACCTCCCCCACCAAAAAGAGGGCCAGCACAGGGCCAGAGCCTGTCTGGCACTGCCATTAGACCCCCCCACCCAGGGACCACAAGGATGCTGGGCTGGAGGAACTCCAGACCCCTACTCTATGGCAAACAGGGGGGCGCTTATCCTTCACAAGGACTTAAGGGCTTTTTCAGCTGGTGACGATACAAATTAAATGCGTGTAACAAACCACATAAAAGAAAGCTTATTTCGAATGGATGTTTTCGCCCCCACAGCTGTATTGATCCACAGATGCTGCTATTAAGGCAGAATTTATAGGAAATTGTTTTCAAGCCTGTTTGTACAACTGGCAGGCTGTATTTATTTAATGTACCTCAAGGTGTTTTCATAATGATCCGTGTTTTAATAAAAACTATTTCTGGCCTCTGTGTCTCTGAGGTCTGATCAGGACAGGTGCCGAGAGCCGTGTGTACTGCTGGTGACCAGGTGCCAAGTGAGGGCTCAGGCCAGGCAACCAACCACGGAGCACGACCCACCCCTGGCACCCGACTGTGTTTCCTAACCTCCTTCTGGAGACAGACCCTGGGGGTGTGAGGGGAGAGGGCAGGCGCCCGGCCCACAGCTGTCCCTCTGTGGGACACGTCCCCCAGCTTCTGGGAGGAATGCAGGCCCTTGGCTTAAAGCTCTAATTTTTTTTTTTTTTTAATGAGTATCACATGAAGGGACACCTGCCCCCCATCATCTGCTAGCCATGGGTTTCCTCTCCGGAGCCCATTCACCTGCCTCATTCTGGGCGCTGCAGGGCCATACCCCTGGGCCCCCCTGAGCCGAGGCCCCTTCCCTCCAGCTCTCACCCCAGGGTGTGGGCCATCCCTGCCTAGTGGCTCACAGCATGGAACTAAGATCCCGGCCAGAGAAGGGGCCCGACTTGCCCAATGTCCCTTGATAACATGCTGGAACACCGCCCAGGGCTTCTGACCAGAGCCCATGCTCACCCCAGCTCCCCATGCCAGGGGACACCGGGACCAGGACGGTGACCACAGAATGCAGGCAGTGATGGGAGCACTACCAAGTCCTGCTATCAGGAGAGACGGGCTGCAGGGCCGCCCCAGGGAAGGAGCCAGGCTATAGGTGGGCCGGCTTTCTGCTCTATACACGCACACACCTCTCCCAGAGATGACTCCCATCTGAACCAGGAGAAGCCCGAGCCTCCCACTCTCTCTTATCCAATTAGTCGGGGGAGCTTGTCTCCTGAGGGGTTGGTGCCTGGAGCCCTCAGACCTGGCAGGGAGGCCCCCACCCGGAGCCAGGCTGTGAGGGGCAGAGTTAGAGGAAAGCTGGGCGGCCACTTCTCCGTCAACAAACCAGCCACACGGACAGCTTTCCATCATGACCTCAGGTTTATTAGTGGTATTAGCGAGTCTTCCCAAGGTCAGCTGCATGCAACACACAGGTCACCCTCATCCAGTGGTCCTAGAGCTTAGTAACTGCATGGTAAGGCTTCTTAAGTCACAGTGTATTCTTCAAGGCCTGGGCCAAAGAGAGAGACTTCCGGACAAAATGACATCGTGAACACTGAGCTCTGCGGGGCGGATCTAGACTATGCTGCACTTGACCTACACGCACTGGAACACTGCTCACGGTGACGGCACCCGGACGCGTAGGCCCCCGGGGACAGCAGGCTCCAGCAGGCTCCAGGGGAGGGTCTGGTTTCCGAGGGGGGAGCTCACGTGTGGATGCGTGTGTGTAGACAGAGATTGTAATGAGGCCACCGGCCTGTGTGGGAGGCTGCCCGGGGGCGTCCAGGGGCCAGCGGACAGGCGGGCACGGGCAGCAGACGTGGTCAAGGGTCATCGGAAAATCCTAACGTCTGAAGAGCAGTTTGTTGTCAAATAAAAGTCAAAATGGTGATGTTGTCTAAATAGGCATGGAGTTTTGAGGTTGTGGATATCACCATTTATGTTAACTCAGGGATGTCTCCTTTCTCAGGAAATACAACCACGTGTCCCCCAACTTCAGTGACCAGTCCCATCCTGAGAGCTGGCTGCCCACACTCAGCCATCAGGGCAGTCGGGCGCCCTCTCTGCAGGAACCCGAGCCCCAGCTGAGGGCGGGGCACACCGCTGCTGCCCCCTGGAACGCGCTGTCCTCGAGGGGCTCCCCGCACAGCCGCATCCCGGGGTACCCACGTTCGCCCTCCACGGCTCCACACCACACGGACGTACAGACAAACCCTTGTCCGTCGCAATGAGAAAATTCAGAATGTGGCAAAATACGTGACCGTTCTACAAAGACTGGTTCCTGTGACCCTCCTTGGATAAAGACCCCTTTTAGTCCAAAAAAAAAAAAAAAGTGGGTGGTGAGGGCATGCCCTTCGGAGGAGCCAGTGTCATCAGGTGGGCTGTGGGTTCAGGGGTCGGGTCCTGGATCCGGCTCCCACTCCTTGGGGTGCAGGCGGGCAGCCTAGATGTACAACGGGGTCTCCTGGCCTGTGAGGAGCCTGAACATGGCGGCAGGCATGGTCTTCATATGGATCTGCCAATGAGAGAGAGGGGCTGACCCAGCCCTCCCTGCCTCCGCCTCCCGCCCCCGTCCCCCCCATGCGAGGCCAGCGATGCCCAAGTCCCCTGAGCGTGTCCTGTGTAAAGTACCAGCATCCAGAGGGGAGGAAGAATGACCTGCGGGCTGTCAACAACAAATTGGCACTCGTCATGGGCACTTGCCATCTACCTCTACAAGGATTAAAGCAGGTGCCGCTGCAGCTGCTGACTTTCAACATCCCCTGAAAGGAGTTCAGGTGGAGATCAGGAATGAGGCCCTCTGTGCTCTGGGAAAAACTGGGAGAACAGGTCTTCAGATAGTTAGATATTTTCAGGAGCCGATTTTTTGAGCCCAATTCTTGCATCTCCTCATACCTAGAAAAACACTGAGATCCTTCCTGGTGACGTCTGCTGCTCGTGACTAGCTGTAACCCTCAGGAGACTTGCAGAACCTTCTGCAAAAACTATGTGCTCCATTGCATGTCCTCCCCCTTCACCAAAATCACATGCATACTGACCTTCCCCCCTGCCTCTTTGGAGCTGTTTCCCAGAGCTATATGAAATGCTGTCTCCCGGGCTACAGTCCTCATTTTGCCCCAAATAAAAAAACTCACAACTCTCATGTTGTGCATTTTTTCAAGTCGACACCGTGGTCACCACCCCTGATGGTGGCTTAGAAAGCACACCCAGACTGCGCAGACTGTGACCTGGGCGCCCCATCCAGGTCTTTACAGGGTTTTACACGCGGTCAAGGGCTGTTTTCCCTTCAGCTCAAGCTGACACCAGGTGCATAAAAGGTTGGACTTTTGACTGTGCACCGAGCTGAAGGCAGGCTGGGGCGCCCAGGCCTCCTTGGAAACTGCAAGGGGCAAAGCTTTGCCTCGGCGTGAGACCCAGAGGCTCACACACCAAGTGCGTGTGCGGCAGGCAGAGGCCTGGAGCCCCCCAGCCCCTGGGGGTCACTTAGCAAATGAGCCTTTGGGGCCTGACCTCAGTCCCTGGCACCACAGAGGCTGGGCACGCCAGCAAGGCACAGAGACGGCTGCCCGGAGAGGCCAACCGTGGGGGGCACATACCCTAAATCCCGCCTGGGCCCCGGGCTCTGCTTTTGCTTCCTTTAAACACTCTGCTCCGCAGGCTAGCCCGGGACCCAGCCGTGCTCAGGCCCCTGTGGGTGACCATGGCTCTAGGGGGTGGGCTGGCAGACCTCCAGCGCCCAGGGAGAGGCGGCCACAGGTGCAGCCACCCCCCCAGGCCTGCCCTTCCTCGGGCAAGCCGTTCTCAGGCCTTATCTGACCAACCCAGATGGCCAGTCTGGCAGAAGCGTCTTCTTGTCACCCAGGCTCCCCACCTGGCCCCCAACACCAGGATCTGTCTGATCCACTTAGATGTCTGCTCCTTCATCAGTCTGCGATGCCTTTTCCCATCAGAAAATTCATTCTAATTCCTCAATCTGAAACCCACCCCCAAAGCCCAGCAAAACACCAGGTCTAGTGATCCATGACTCATTTTCCAAATGTGCTCAGGGATGATGGAAAACACAGGCAGGCAAGCTCATCTCTCAGGACCAGCCAGGACTGGCTTCCAACACCCTGGGCCTGAGGTCCAGCCTGATTGATACCCATTCACCTCAGGTCCAGACAGTCGGACGCATTTCTCCCGGTTCCCAGCCCAGCTCCCCCGCCCGACTGATGGCCCCAGCGGGGCGGCTGTCTCCAGGCATCTACTTAGGACAATTGGATTTTCCTTTCTTTGAAGCCATTTGTAAGAGAAGGCTAATGGTGCCTACCTGGCCCCCTCCTTCCTGAGAGCTGCTGTCTGCCACCACCCATGCAGGGAAACAGGCCTCCTCCCCCGGCCTTGGGACTTTCACAAAATACTGAGTGGGTTAACGTGGCCCCAGGAAAGGTGTCCTGACCGGACATGATCTGAAGGCCCCTCAGGGAACAGCATCACGCTCCCCCCACCAGCCTCCAAAGAGGAAGCCGTGCCCTCTCCCCACACAGCCCCTGGGTCCCCACCGCCCTCAGAATCAAACCTAAACTCCCCGCCCAGCACCTGCCTTCACAGCCGTCCCATGTCACCCGCCACTCAGCGCTGTCTACCCCTTCTGTGCTGCTGTCACCGAGGCTTCATCCAGGGAGATACCCATTCACCCTGACTCCCCGCTTCCCACACACCTACACACACACACACACACCCCCGCACCGGGGAGGCCTCCTTTCCAGCACTGGGCTGGTACCCCCACTCCCAGCATCTTACGTCCCCCGCTGAGGTACACTGCTCCCTCCTGAGCTCCCCGCTCTGTACCCCGTCCACCCTCACGCTGGCATGGCATCGCACTGATGCCAGAAAGCAGAAATGGAGGCGGGGTACAGCCAGCAGAGTGGGAGAGGGGAGCACAGCAGGGCCGGCCTGGGAATGCCCACCCCCATCCCATCAGCCACAGTTACCCAGGGTGAGGAGGGGATGCCAGACCCCGCCTGCAGCAGGCTCCCCTGTGGGAGACACAGCCGTGCTCAGCTGATGCAGCCCCTGGAGGAGGCTCACAAAGGTCCGGGTGGGAGCACGCCAGCCAGCAGATGTGCCCAAGTCCCCGCAGGGACAGGCTCTGCCAAGAAGGGAGGCTTTGCTCTGGGGCACTTTCCCAGCACCTTATACACGCCCTCGGGGATTAGATGTCGGCCGTGGAAACATCTGGGCTCCGAGAGCCCGGTTCTGGCTTCGGGAAGTGACCTCTCACCTCTCCCACCGAGTTGGACAGCGCCTGGACGATCTTCTCGTGGGCCGTGGCCACCACGCTCTGCCCGTTGATCTCGATGATGCGGTGGCCCACGCGGACGCCGCCCCGCTCCGCGATGCCCCCGCGCATGAGGCTGCAGATCTAAGCGACACGGGGGCGGGGGGTGGTCGGGTCAGCACAGGGTCCCCGCCACGCTCACCAGTCGCCTCCAGCCCCCAAAGACGGGGAGGACAATTAATCACACGCAGGACGAAGCCCCAGCAGACAGACGCTCGGACACTCCTACATGCCGTCTGCCGACTCACCAACTGGGAGGTTACGGTTTGGAATGCGTTTGAAAATGGCTGTGGGAGACCCGTCCCCCCA